TACAGGAACATCCCTGGAGGTATAAGTAAGTCAGCAATACATCATCGACCCCCCGCGATGCGCCCAAAGTACCACGGACCATACGAGGTGACGCATTGCGACATCGCGGCATCGTTCGCCATACCTCAAGACACCTAATTTTAAATCACTCTTCTAACAAACATCGTACAGTTGCCAGTTATTGTAATTAATATTTTTAGTAATTAATTAAGTTGAAGTATATATATTTTTTAATTTTATCTTGCGGCCGATCGTAATTAGCGCAGAATGTCAATAGAGTAAATAAATAAACATCCATTTCGTATCAGCAATACATTTACGATTTAAGATTTTATGACGATATCAAGGCAGCCAGGAGGATACCAGCCAGCTGCGTTTTTTGATGTCGTTCTTTATGACGCCCTAAAATTTTATCGCAATACGATGATCGTTGTAGCATATTTATATTATAGCCTATCAAAAGACAGGACCTTCAAATTTTTCTTTAAGTTGCTTCTTACGATACCTAAAGAATGAGATGGAATGATAACTAGTTTATCCTGTGCTATACTCCGGCTGTATGCTGGCTACAAAGTTTGTAATGTTATTAAATACTAGCTGATGCCCCGGCGCTTTGCAGCCGCAGAAGAAATAATTGTGGAAATAACGTTTTAAATTTGGAACAGTTAAATTAGAAATGATAATACCTACATTGAATCATATTTAACTTTCAAATAAATTTAAAAAAACACCACCTGCTGTAAGTGATTTGTACTATGCCTATAACCTTCGCGGAAGTGCAAGCAATAAGTTGACAAAGTTTTACCGCAATCTGTCGAACGGTATGGCAGCGCATAAAATATTAATTTTTATATATTCAAATCATCATTATCATCGTTACAGGCCCTTCACAAGTCCACTGCTGAACATAGGCCTCCCCCAAGGAATGCCACAAAGCACGGTCCTGAGCCACCTGCATCCATCGACTTACTGCACGTCTTACCAGGTCGTCACTCCATCTAGTAGCGGGACGCCCTACACTTCGTCCGCCGGTACGAGGCCGCCACTCAAGAACCTTTTTCCCCCATCGGCTGTCGGTTCTTCTAGTTATATGGCCAGCCCATTGTCACTTCAGCTTACTAATCTATCTCTTTTATCTACGTGGTAGAGCCAAGCCAATATTAGTAGTATAGTTGTAGCACGAATGGGTCGGCTCGACCGGGGAAGGACCACGCTCTCACAGAATACCAGCGTAAGATGGCAGCTTGACACTGCTGTGTTTGGTATGGTGAGTGTAGAGAACCGGAGACCCTTTTTACTGGAAAAGAGGCATTCCATCTTAGTCCTCACGGGTGACAACGTATCTGCATTTTGATTCGCAAACGAGGATAAATGTAGATGGCCACAGCAACCACTTACCATCAGGTGGACTGTGTGCTCGTTTGTCACCCTAACCTATAAAAAAAAACTAATCCGTTGGGCTATGTCGGTCACTCTGGTTCTACTGCGGATATCCTCATTTCTAAGTTTATCACGCAGAGAAACTCCGAGCATAGCCCTCTCCATAGCTCGCTGAGCGACCTTGAGCTTCCTCATCCGGCCAGCAGTGAAGGACCACGTTTCAGTTCCATAGGTCATTGCTGGCAACACGCACTGGTTGTACAGTCTCGCTTTCAAGTTTAGAGGTATAGCTGAGATTGAGATTCTCGAACGCTGCCCAACCGAGTTGAATCCGTCGATTGACCTCTCGGTGGAAGTCGGACTTACCTAGTCGGACTATTTATCCCAGGTAAACATACTCATCAACAACTTCAAGCTTAGTGCTCCCAACAAGTATATCTACCGGCATAGGTGGGACATGGACATTAAACAATCTTTGTTTTGTCCGTATTCATCTTAAGTACCTATCCGTTGGGATCACTATTGAGGTTATTGAGCATAGTGCTTAGATCCTCCAGCGATTCTGCCATAAGGACTATATCGGAATTTCTTCTGTACAATTTGCCGAAGGGTATGTATGTGGTCTATCGTGCTAAAGCCTTTTCGGAAAAGGCTTGTTTGGGAGGCTAGAAGTCGTCAAGTCTGCGCGCAAAACGATTCGCAATGGCTCTCGAAAACAGCACATAGACGCGGCTCAGAAGGGAAATCGGTCTGTAGTTCTTCAAGAGAGCGTTGTCACTTTTCTTGAAGACCACCGCACTTCTGCTCCACGCCTCCGGTGTAATACCACCATGGAGGACGGAATTAAATAGCTTCTAAAGGACGTTAAGTACCGGTTTTTCACCCGCTTTCAGAAGCTCCGCTGTAATTCCATCCTCGCCTAGGGCCTTGCCCTTTTTAAGGTGCTGGAGAGCCATTCTAATCTCTCTCAGACTGACGTCCGGGATATCATCGAAATAGTGTCAGATAAGACTCGCTCTTGGATCGTTACTCACACTTGCGTGTGGCTCCAACGATAATGTGTACAGCTGCCCATAGAACCTCTCAATCTCACTCAAAATCTCAGTCCCGGAAACGACGCTGCTACATTCGGTCTTCAGCTTCGACAGTTGGCTCTTTCTGGCAGACAGATCTCTAGCAAAGACTTTGGAGCCCTTGTTCCGCTCGATTGCTTCTTCAATACGAGCAGTATTAAAGTTTTCAGTATTGTTAACTGATATATATATGGAAAATATGGAAATAAAGATTATTAATAAAAGTATTAAAGTTGCGTAAGTCCCGCAACATTCATTTGGAGATCTGTCTGTTCAGTTGCCTGTATGCTGTCAAATCTGTTGAAGAATGTAGCTTCATCTCCCGTCTAACAGCCATGAGATTAAGAGTGTGATCGGAGAGTTTTTGTGTTCTTCTGCGGCGGGTCTTGCAGAACTTAGCTCCGACCGCATGGACAGTTTCCACGAGCTTGTCATTCATATCGTCCACTGCATTGCAATCTTCTAGGCACTGAAAACGGTTTCGTACCTCGAGCTAAAAGGTTTCGGGACTATGGCTGTGACTATATATATATTAGAGCACGAGTGGGACGGAGCATTGAATTCATTAGATGTGACCTCTACAACTTAACGTTTAGGTTCAGTGTGCCTCTCACCATTTGCTGATCGCTGCCGGTTTTCACCCTCGCGATCACTAAGACATCATTGAACAGTTGTCGTCTGGGCGTTATAATGAAGTCAATCTCATTTTTTGTCGAACCGTCGGGGCTCGACCAGGTCCATTTCCTGTGGGGCCGCTTCTGGAAGAAAGAGTTCATCATAAAGAGTCCCTCTTTCTCCACGAAGTCGGCCAGCTGCTGGCCCCTTGGGTTCCGTTGCCCTATTCAGAATTTCCCTACTTTCAGCTCACCGTTTTCTCTTGTGCCTGGTTTTGCGTTGAAGTTTCCCATTAACACCGTATAGTGGGTTTTGGAGGAATGCATGGCTCTAGGGATATCCTCATAGATTTCCTCCACCTCTTCCTCGGGGTGTGTCGAGGTTTACACTCAGAATCACCAAACGAATACCGTTTGGTGATTCTGAGTGTAAGGTACGCAACTCTCGTCGACACACTCTCAATCTTTACAACGTTGTTATCGAGTGACTTGTGGACGATAAATCCAACACCTCCTTGGGACAGATGGTCACCCTCCCGGTGATAGAACAGAACTTTCGTGCGCAGCTCAAAGATCGCGTGCAATGCAGTAACGAAAACCTGCAGCAGTGGGCCCTTGAGGTGGAGAAGCTGGTTCGGAAAGCATAACAGTCTGTACCTGTGCTCATTGTAGGGCACCTGGTGCAGACATTCATCGACGGCATCCGCGACCTTGAAGTAAGAGCTGTTGTGAGGCTCGGGCACCACGAGACGCTTAAGGACGCGTTGGCCCATGCACTGGAGGTGGAAGCCGTGCGACAGGATCATCGTTTCCATCGCTTCAGGGAGGTTTCAGCAGCTACAGTTCGTGACCGCAATAAAGGCTACAGCCCTAGGTGCTACGGCTGTGGGGAATGGGGCCATCTACGATACAGCTGCCCTAAACGAACTGTAGAAAGGGAAGGAGATCGATCTCGAGAGGGTAGTGTGGCTAACAGCACCGCCCAGCAGCAGCAGGGAAACTGGCGGGTGCTGGCTGATGTTAAAAGAGCCCCAAGGATTTCGATCTCACAAACCCATGATGGGAACAGCCTGATCATCAAGGGCGAGGTCAACGGACACTGGAGCCTCTCGCACGGTTGTCAGTTCACAACTTATAAGTCAGTTCGTTGGGGACTCCGCATACAACCGCGAACGCATTAATTTGGTGACAGCCACCGGTCAGCGCATACCCGTTCGTGGAAAGAAGGAGATGGAGTTGAAGCTAGGTAACATGATCTACCTGCATAATGTCATCGTGGCTAATATAATGGACGACTGCATACTGGGCCTAGACTTTATGAGGAAGAATTGTTGTGAGATCGACGTTAAGCAAGGTGTTTTGAAATGTGGAGAAGAGGAACTTTTCGTGGAAGGGGCGTTACCAGGGAATGTGTACAGCCTTAAGAAGATTGTTCTTCCGCCGAGATCGGAAACAATTGTGCCGGTTAGTCTTCCTCGGAGTCTTGGGCAAGCTCATCGTTGTGTACTCGTGGAAAGGGTAGACAATGACCTTCCATGGAAAGTGGCTCGAACCTTGGTCAGAACCACCGACATCTCAGGAGTACGTGTGTTGAACCTTTGTGATCAGGAACAGATTATAGAAAAAGGCAAATTGGTTGGTACTAGTGAGGAAGTGGATTGGTTGCGTCGGTGCGAATATCTATTGACTGGGACCCCCAGCAAGGATGGACAAACGAGAGTGACCACACTTTTAGAAGACTGTCGCAGCGTTCTCTCCCCGAATGAAATGGTCAAGGCGAAGAAGTTGTTACTCAAGTACGTCACTGTTTTCCCGTCAAACGAAGCTGATATAGGAAAGACTGGCTTAGTTCAACACAAAATGAACACAGGAGAAAAATTGCCTATTGCGGCCAAGGAGATTGCCTGTAGCACGTGAAAAGGAAGTGCAAACCATGATTGAGGGAATGGTGAAGGATGGTGTTATTGAACCTTCATCTAGTCCATGGTGTTCACCTGTGGTGCTGATAAAGAAGAAGGACGGCAGCATGCGGTTTTGTGTTGACTACCGCCGCCTGAACGACGTTACGAAGAAGGACAGCTATCCCTTGCCAAGAATTGATGACACGCTGGACATGCTTACAGGCGTAAAGTGGTTTAGTACGCTGGATCTGAAAAGTGGCTACTGGCAGGTTGAAATTGACCCTAAGGACAAGGAGAAAACTGCACTCTCCACAGGAAAGGGTTTGTGCTAATTTAAAGTCATGCCGTTTGGATTGTGCTATGCTCCAGCAACGTTTGAAAGGTTGATGGAGCTTGTACTTACCGGGCTAATTGGAGATGCTTGTCTGGTCTATTTGGATGACATCATCATCGTAGGCCGTACGTTTGAGGAACACCTTCAAAACCTGGAACGCGTGCTCATGAATATCCAGAGTGCCAACCTCAAGTTCAGTCCGAAGAAGTGCTCACTATTCAAACGGCAAGTTAGTTTTATGGGGTATGTAGTGTCGGAAGAAGGTATCCGCACGGATCCAGAGAAAATTGCTGCTGTCAAGGAGTGGCCGGTTCCAAAAGACAAGACACAGGTTAGAGCATTTTTGGGTTTGTGCTCTTATTATCGGCGATTTGTGAAGAACTTTGCAGATATAGCCAAACCTCTGCACAAGCTAACCGAGGAGAAGCGACATTTCTGCTGGGATGAAAGTTGCGATATGGCATTCCAGGAGCTCAAGAACCGTCTATGCAAAACACCTATTTTGGGGTACCCTGATGCGGGCAAGGAATTCATAGTTGACACAGACGCAAGTGATATAGGACTTGGCGGTGTGTTGTCTCGGAATGGTGATCAAGAGATTGTGATAGCGTACTTCAGCAAGTCGTTGTCAAAGCCGGAAAGGAACTATTGTGTCACAAGACGGGAATTGCTTGCTGTGGTAAAGTCCTTGCAGCATTTTCGCAAATATCTTCTAGGGCGGAAATTCCACTTACGAACTGACCATGCTGCACTGAAATGGCTATTGCAGTTCAAAAATCCAGAAGGACAAGTTGCGAGATGGATTGAATTACTGCAGGAATACGACTTTTTGATCGAACATCGCAGCGGGAAATCTCATGGCAATGCAGATGCATTGTCAAGAAGACCCTGCCTGAAGATTGCAAGCATTGTACTAGGCAAGAGGGTAAGGAAGTGGTATCTGTGAGGATGCTCAGGACAGACCAGCTCAGCAATGAGTGGAAGGACAGCCTACAACATGCACAGCAGGAAGATTTGGTCAAATTTGGTAATTCACTCGGCAGTTTTTAATTATCTCGAATCCCAAGCTCGTAACAATATTCCAATATAATAGTGTATTTAGGTTATAATTTTATTTCCAAGCCATTGTGCACACTTTATTAAATCGAAATAAAAATTGTAGAAAGGATGTACTAATCCAAGAAGATGTTTATTCGGGGTACAATTTAATGGTAAGGAACTGAAAGGAGAATGGGTATTTTGGGCCTGAAGTTAACTAATGGGTTTATACTTTAAAAATTGGCCATATTTTTCTTAAGTAAAATACAAAAAAGTAGCTTTTTACAATCTAGATCTCGAAAAAATCATAAAATAATAAATAAGATAGAACTTTTTTTTATAGGATAAGGGTGACAAACGAGCCACCTGATGGTAAGTGGTTGCTGTGGCCCATAGACATCTACATCTATCCTCTATTACAAATCAATATGTAGATGCGTTGTCACCCGTGAGGACTAAGATGGAATGCCTCATTTCCAGTAAAAAGGGCCTCCGGCCACCTGCACTCACCAAGCGAAACGCAGAGGTAAACCTCTACTTCACGCTGGTTTTCTGTGAGGTCGTGGTACCACCCCGGTTCGAGCCGGCCCATCCGTGCGACTGCAAAAGCTGCCGCGTGGCTCTACCACTGTTAAATGCAGCTTCCTTAAACAAATTTTGATCTCAAATATCTGCGACAGAGTGGCGTCTGCAGTGTAAGCTGTATCATATTATTAGCTTAAGGTGTAGACACATTGATAAAATTTTAGTTAATGGATTTTAGACTTTATACAGAGCATTCATAGGAATGGTAATAAATGTGACTTAACAAAAAATAATAATTAGTTTTTGGCTAAAGTATTATTGTGTAATGGGCTTTAGAATTCTGCATATATAAGGAGAGCTAGAATGCGCTGCAAGTCATTCCTAATTTTCTTTTTTAATTGAAGTGTCTTTTTATTATTTTTATTATTTTTTATTGAGTTCATACTATATAATCTAATATATAAAATTCTCGTGTCACAGTGTTAGTGATCAAACGGCTGGACCTTTTTTATGAAACTTTGGGTCAGCTAGTCATGTATATAAATATGTAATAAAATAATATGTGTACAAATGATCTATGACCTGTTATATTAACTATAGAATTACTGATTTTAGGACGTTGACTAGCAAAATTGTCAATCCATTTGACTCGGATGATGGTAGTACTCTCATTACGAAATCCAAACAAAAGAAAACGTTGAAAATGTCTTGTGGAGATAGTAATATTAAGAAGAGGAAAGTCGTTCTGGATTCAGATAGCGAATCGGAGGCTGAGTCTATAAAAAAGGAAAGACTTAAGAGGTCTTCGTTTGCATTTGATTTAGAGGTAAGTTCAATTTAAATTTATTAATACAATTGTCGTCTTGGTCAGTGACCCAAATTGCCAAGCTGAGGGCCGTGGGTTCGATTCCCGGTCGACGCAGATATTTATTTCACAGATAAATATTTGTACTCAGGTCATGGATCTTTGTCGTTTTTATTTTATTCTTGTAATTATTTAACCAATTTTAGTTTAATGATTTCTTATATTTAGGCGAACACTACACATTTTTAATAAAACTAATTTTACGGACCCGTGGTCACGGGGAGTCCCCCGTGACCACGGGTGCTGGAAAGCACCCGAAACGTCGGGAATATATAAAAATAAGTTAATATACGCGATAAAATCCGTAAAATTAGTTTTATTAACAATTTTAGTTTATTCATATTAGTAATTAGTGCTTTTGAAAAAACTTTGTTTTGAGTATTATCATCGAGATCGCCATCACCAATATTTTATTTCTTACCGATATCAAACAGCACTATAATATTTTTTTAGTTATAAATATTATGAGCTTATTTTTCTATACAATACTAACATTAATATTTGAAATAATTACAGGAAGATAACGAGTTGCAAGAACCCATTAGAGAGGCGGCGCTGAGAAGTTTTTTATCGCGGCGTGCGGGTTTGGGCTACACGCTGCAGAGAGCAGATCCTGCAAGAGCTGCGTGTGTACAAAACCAAAGAAACCGAAAAGCTTGGCTCCAATCGGCGGAAGCGTTCGCTCGTCACTCTAAAGTCTGCTGTAGAAGACAACAGCCTTACGTGGAAAGCTGCGACAAAGTTAGTAGCAGCGGCAAAGGATGAGTACGCTGCTATATAGCCAATTTTATGCCCTATTAATATTTTCTAACTTTGTTTTGGCACCAATAATAAAGTAATTGCGCTCATAATAGCTTAATATTAAATGTTATTGACTTGTAGCATATTATTTTCCTAAGTTATGCCTTTTCCTTACAGCAAAGAAAAAATAAGAATTAAAATCTGAATCTAAAAAACAAAAAGCCAGATACTGAACGTTTAATTTTAAAATACCTGAATGAAGTAATTATTCTCAAAAATTGCATTTATTTTTCCTTGCAGCAACGAAAAACTAAGAACTAAAAATATGAATCTAAAACAAAAAGCCAGATATTGAAAGTTAGATTTTTTGAAATACCTGGATAAAGTAATTATAATATAAATTTGTGAATCATTTATTATATTACTGTGCGATATACCATATTATTTTCAAAACTGTGTCTCTTCTTACAGCAACGAAAAAATTAAAAACTAAAATCTGAATCTAAAAGAACAAAAAGCTGGATTGAAACTTAAATTTTGAAATACCTTAAATCTAGACAAAGTAATTATAAGTTAGAGTTGTTAATTAGAATTTAAATCTATAAGACAAATATAAATAAAGATTGAAATACATATTTATATACAAGTTTTGAGCAGTATTACACTAAACGTCAATAATAGATACATAATTGAAAATGAAATTCTGCCAGGACTGTAATGCATATACATCAAATCATTCATCACATAAGAAGAGTAATATACATAAAATTAATTGTTTACTTAGAACTGAGATTGATAATTTTCAGTTAATAGCTACTGCTTTCAAGAATAGGATTGCAAGTTATAGAGTAAATCCAGATTCAAGTGACATAATTATGCCAGAGTTATTCTTATCTAGTATTTCTAGCATTGTTTGCAATATAATTAAAACATTACTAATCACGCACAAATCAATCACGGTAAACTTTGAATTATTTGTGTTGTACAAGCTTCCAAAGAATGATGAAATATCATTAAAAGGCTTCAATACTAAATATACACATATATTATAAAGTACTGATTTAAATTTTCTTTTTGAAGAATACTCGAAGAATTTAATCAGCAAATTGAACCAACTTTGAATTATCTGAATCTGGGTGGACAATTGAGTCAATTAACCATTTAGAACTAAATATAGCTAAACATAATCCGCTAAGAGCGGGTCATTTTATTTCATTACCAAAAAGTATTGTCAGAACAAAGTCATGTCTTAATATTCATAATACAGACAGTCACTGCTTCCTTTGGTGTATCATAGCATAAATGTATCCAGTGAAATGTAATCCAAATCGAGTTACATCTTATCCACACTATTCTAAAGTTTTAAATGTGTTCAGTATGTCTTTTCCACCGACGTTTGAAGATATAAAACGCTTTGAAGAACAGAATACAAACATAAGTGTCAATATATATGGATTAGAAAAAAATAATACAGTAACAGGACCTTTGTACAAAACATCACAAAGAAAGTTAATGCATGTAAACTTATTGCTTTTGAATAAACAAAACAAGACTCATTTTGTTTTAATCAAACATTTTGAAAACCTCGTACATAAACAACTTAAGAAACACAAATGTAAAGTTCATTTATGTGATGAATGTTTTCTTTACTTTGATTCTGAGACAAGGTTAGAGTCAAGTAGTTGTGCTCGCATGCAAACTATCCTTCCAGAAACGAAATCAAAGCTACGATTTTCTAATCCAGAAAGGTCTTAAAGAATTCCAATTGTTATTTATGGTGACTTTGAAAGTTTACTTAGAGAATATTCTAACAAAAATAAAAGTCAACATGTACAAAATGTTCAGATTCATGAAGCTACTTGTTTTGTTTATTATATATGCTGTGAATCCAATCCCGAATTGAATGACTGTGTTTCTTATCGAGGGCATAATTGCTAAATTCAATTGATAAGGATATAGAAAGATTATATAAAATTTTAAATATTTCCAAAGACATGAATCCGCTTAATAGTGAAAAGCAGAGCTCTTTTAATAGTGCAGAATTGTGTTATATTTGTAAAAAAAAGTTTTGTTCTTCTGATTACAAAATATATGATCATGACCATTTCACAGGTAAATACAGAGGTCCAGCTCATTATTCATGTAATTTAAACAATAGAAAATGTAATTTCATTCCTATTATATTTCGTAATCTTTCTGGATATGATTTCCATTTATTTATAAAAGAACTTGCAAGTGTATGCGGTCGTATAAATTTAATTCCAGAAAACAAAGAGAAATTTATTTCATTTACAAAGTTTTTTCCAATCGATATGCAGAAGTCAGCGCAATTAAAATTTATAGACTCCTTTAATTTCCTGAGTTCAAGTTTAGATCATTTAGCACAAACTCTAAACCCTGAAGACTTAAAACATTTGCGAACATTCTTTCCAGATGAAAATTTATTCCGATGATGTCTTAGGAAGGGTGTATATTGCTATGACTATGTAGATTCTTGGGAAAGTATAAAGAAACTCAGTTACCAGAGCAATCAAAATTTTAAAATAAATTAACATCAGAATCTATAACAAGCGAAGATTATAATCAAGCTTTAACTGTGTGGCAAAATTTTGGTATTAAAAACTTAGGTGAATATACCGAGTTATATCTGAAATGCGATGTCTTACTACTTTGCGACTTTTTTGAGAAATTTAGATTCATGACTTTGAATTATTATGGTCTCGATCCTTGTCATTATGTTTCATCACCTTCACTAAGTTGGGATGCTATGCTATTGT